TAAATAAATAAATGAAAATAAATAATAAAATAAGGCTGGGTGCAGTGGCTCATGCCTGTAATCCCAGCACTTTAGGAGGCTGAGGTGGGTGGATAACTTGAGGGTCAGGAGTTTGAGACCAGCCTGGCTAACATGACGAAACCCCGTCTCTACTAAAAATACAAAAATTAGTTGGTCATGGTGGTGCACACCTCTAATCGCAGCTACTCAAGAGACTGAGGCAGCAGAATCACTTGAACCCGAGAGGCAGAGGTTGCAGTGAGCCCAGATCATGCCACTGCACGCCAGCCTGGGCAACAGAGCCACACTTTGTCTCAAAAAAAAAAAAAAAAAAAGTAACATTCTTGTCTGATTTTTAAAGACAATATTATATGTGGAATATTATATGTGGAATGGTTCAGATCAACTGGAGCATAGGTAGGATGATTTATGGTTTCATTCTAAAATACATGTTTATTGGCCAAAGTAGTTTCTTTTTATATTTCAACTTATAAATAGACATTTAATAAATGCTTTTTAAATTTAATGGAATGACTATGTTGAAATCTAATGAAAAATTCATTAGCTTTGCTGAATTGGATGGTATTTTATCCTATTGAATTTACAGATTTGATTAGTTTTGGAATTTATAGACTCTTATTTCTATTTTCTTGTATCCTATATAAAACAGACAAGTCTTGGATAATCGGTATGGCTTGAAGCGCTGGCAAATAGGAGAAATTGCTTCCAAGATTGGGCAGCTATACTATCATTATTAGTAAGTAAATTACACATGGAAAGAGTCAAGTGTTGTCTGATTAAAACATAGCATGCAGAAGTATACATAGTATACTCATTGCTAGGCATGAAAATTGTGAGTTACAAATGAAACCCTGGTAGTTCGGGCCAGATTGATCAAGACAATGTTGTGCAATAACCTTCCATAGTCAAAGTACTATTTGTTTTAAAGGCTTGCCTCCCAAACACTTCATTTGGTCAGACTCATTTATAACTTAAAAATTTGATCTTGGTTTTAGATAAATGATTAATACTAAAGGATTTGTTGTTCTTACAGCTTCACTTGTCTTAATAATATGTAGCATTATATTGTAACTTGTATGTATGAATGAATGATTTTCAGAAGGATACTTTAAAAAACTCATATTTGCAGGATATGTTTGAAAGATATTTTTTATTATATCCTTAGAGCACTAACATCTGTATAGTCCCATCCCTGAGCTCAGAAAACAAGAAGAATCCTTTTAGGAATCTAAATCTCATTATCCCAAAGTGATGATCAGGTATACAATAAAAAAGGCTTGGACCATTTGTAATCTAAAAGGCAATAAAATGGCTGGGTGTGGTGGCTCACACCTGTAATCCTAGCACTTTGGGAGGCCAAGGCAGGTGGCTCACCTGAGGTCAGGAGTTTGAGACCAGCCTGGTGAAACCCCATCTCTACTAAAAAGACAAAATTAGCCAGGCGTGGTGGTGGATGCCTGTAATCCCAGCTGCACAGGAGGCTGAGGCAGGAGAATTGCTTGAACCTGGGAGGCAGAGGTTGCAGTGAGCCGAGATCATGCCATTGGCACTCCAGCCTGGGCAACAAGAGTGAAACTGTCTCAAAAAATAAAAAATTAAAAAAAAAAAAAAGACAATAAAACGTCTTCCATTTCCTACATTTTGGCATACCATTCCAAATTCCCACCATTAAAATCACTCTTTTGGGTAGAATATTTTCTTAAAAAGTCCCTTGTAAAACTAGAAATGTGTTTTCTCGGGTAGAAATATTTTCTTAAAAAGTCCCTTGTAGAACATAATTCATTAACATCTCCTGAAGATTAATATGGATTAGTGCATTCCTCAGTTCTGTGAGGAAAAAAATTAAAGAAATGGGCCAAAGGACTGTATGGATTTGAGGAAGTGGCCTAGTCCTGGGAGATAAGGATTTCACTGGATGGAATGCTGTTTGAGACACTTCAGAGAAGGAGGGTAATGTGTAATATGGGTTGGCATCAAAAAAGGCTTGGATGCAGCGAGGAGGTTTTTCAAAAATTTTAATTATTATTTTTTATGCATTTTAAGGGTGATATTGCCTTGCCGATTCAAATTTAGGACAGTCATTCCCACTCCCTCACCCCACGAGATAGCGGAATACAGCAGTATATAGAGCAAGTATTTACTGTGGTGAAGAGTCTCTGACACTGTCATATTGAAAAATGTATTTTTTCTCATAGCTTACGCACATCTGAAACCAGCTATCTGAATGAGGCTTTTTCCTTCTATTCTGCAATCAGACAGAGATCATATTATTCTCAAGTCAATAAAGAAGACAGGTATGTATCTGCTATGTTTTTAGAAAGATGAGGATAAAACACTCAGTCTTTAGTCTGCATGGAAATTGTGCGGAAAAGCTTACATTTGTTTATAACTTGCTCTCATTTACCAGACTTTATTGAGTGCCTACTATGTAGTAGACCTTCAAAAGCATAGAGAGGTATATGTTACCTAAGCAATAAACATCAAAGATGTTGTAACAGATGTCACAATACCAAAGGAGGGTTGGGTTATTGTTGTACAAGGGATTGACTTCACACAGATTTAATACAAAAGATATGACTCCAAAACAAGGCTTAGCTAATAACATTTATTCTTTAGCCTGTGTAATCTTAATTCATGTCTCTTCAAAAGCCTGGTGACAACTGTCATGTAGGACCAGGGAATAGCCTGCTAATATTGTTTGAATTTTCTCTGTCTCTCTTTTTTTTTGAGATGGAGTCTCGCTGTGTCGCCCAGGCTGGAGTACAGTGGTGCGATCTCAACTCACTGCAACCTCCATTTCCGCCTCCTGGGTTCAAGCAATTAGCCTGCCTCAGCATCCCAAGTAGCTGGGATTACAGGCTTGTGCCACCACCCCCGGCTAATTTTTTTGTATTTTTTACTAGAGATGGGGTTTCACCGCATTGGCCAGGCTGGTCTCGAACTCTTGACCTCACGTGATCCACCCACCTTAGCCTTGCAAAGTGCTGGGATTACAGGCATGAGCCACCATACCCAGCCTGGATTTTGATTTTGTTAATTCCAGATGAGTATGAAATTGTGGAAGAAGTCAGAGATCTTCTGGAGAATCTTTCTTGCTAGCATTCTGGGAATTGTTGGATGAGAAAGTTCAGGCACAGAAGGTCTGAATATTCTCTCTACCCCAGCAACAGAACTCACAGTTTTTATATGGTGAAAAGATTATATTCTCTTAGCAATAGAAGAAAACAGTTTTGACATGTTTTTCTCGAGAACACTTTGTGGTTAACTGTTGTAAGCTTTCCAACTAAACAGTGACATTTTGGGGAAAGCCCCACTCTTGTAAATCTCTTTAATTTCCTTGCATGTCTTGTTCAGACTTGTCTAGGGGCGTTTGCATGGCACATGTAAGGGGTGCAGATGCTGGAATGTACATTTTTCATATCTTTTTGTCATCCCCTTACATCAGAAGTTCCATCAATTACTTTTCCCTTAGGTTTTCCTATAGTTTGCTTCACATATTTTCAATACAGATGTATTTCCTCCAATCCTAATTTTAAAAAAATTATTGCTATGCTATTTGTCTTAATTTTTGGTGAGATAAATTATATCTTAAAAAATGCAAAAGAGCTGTGTAACATTTTATCAGCGTTAAAAATACATATAAGCAGAGAACTATTTTAAGTAATAGCAAACCGCCTTGTATAATTTACTTTTCTGCATTTTCTAATTTGACAAAAGGGAAATTGGCTTTAATCTTAATATCCAACAGTTTGATTTCTTGCCATAATTTTGTGCCTTAATAACAAACATCAAATTTGAATTGTTTTCCTGTGCAGTTTCCTAGATCAGAGCATATTATTTAGAAGTAGGATTATTTGGAATCGGGATGACAAAAACTCTTGCTTTGTGCCAGTAAATTAGAATCAAAGGACAATCTGGTGTGCAAATCCCTGACCTTGCTGTGTGTGGTTAGGAGGGTCTTTGTTCAGTTGGTAGGTTGTTTCTTAGTTCACACAGGGTAAGAGTGCCAGTCAAGATTGCAATCAGCAACAGCTGCTAAAATCAAGAGCCAGGAGAGAAAACCAAGTAAGGAAGTATTCCACAATTTCACAGTTCATTTAAAAGGCAAAAATCTTCACTCCTCAAAAGGAACAAGTTCTCTCTGCACTGTCTCAGCAGCTAAGGATTATGTTGAGACCAGGAGGAATAAGTAGTTTGTTCCAGCAATCTCAAGGTTAGTGTCTGTCACTAAGCATAGACCACTCCCAGAACATCTCGTTCTATGGGTCCATCGTACTTAGGAGAAGAGATATTACCATACAGCCACTCCTCCTAGGAGCTGCACACCCCAATTCTGTTGTAAATGGCCAAAGCTGAACCTGGTTGGATATGGAGAAGGTGAAGATTCTGAATACCCAGGAGGTTGTGGGAGATGTTACAGTGAGCCACCTGGAAGAACAGAGTTTCCTAGGCAAATATGTAGTTAAAGAGTCAGGGTCTTGTAAGTAGTGAGCCTAGCAGGTTGGACAAGGCTGGAATTCTGGAGTCCAGAAGTTTGATAAGAGCTTTAAAAAAAGGCCGAGTGCGGTGGCTCACACCTATAATACCAGCACTTTGGGAGGCCAAGGCAGGTGGATTATGAGGTTAGGAGATCGAGACCATCCTGGCTAACATGGTGAAACCCCCTTTCTACTAAAAATACAAAAAATTAGCCAGGCGTGGTGGCACGCACCTGTTGTCCCAGCTACTCGGGAGGCTGAGGCACAAGAATCGCTTGAACCCGGGAGGCGGAGGTTGCAGTGAGCCAAGATGGCGCCACTGCACTCCAGCCTGGGTGACAGAGTGAGACTCCATCTCAAAAAAAAAAAGCTTCATAAAAAGCCTTCAATTTTACATTCATATTTCCCACTGGAAAAAACTTAATACTGTCACCACTTATGTTGACGTTGACAACATGTCAACATGTCATTTATTGTTCCGAAGAAACATAGAGTAAGTAAAGTTTGCTTGTTATTATTTTAAGAAAAATAATTTTAAAGACTATAAGGAGAATGTCTAACTTCAGAAGAGGTGGAGGGGGAAGTGAATAATAAAATTATGGTTATTACAATGGAAGGCAGGAAAGGAAAATAAACTCCGGTTATGTTGATGTCAACATAAATGGTGACAGTATTAAGTTTTTTTCAGTGGGAAATATGAATGTAAAATTGAAGACTTTGGGCCGGGCGCGGTGGCTCAAGCCTGTAATCCCAGCACTTTGGGAGGCCGAGGCGGGCAGATCATGAGCTAGGAGATCAAGACCATCCTGGCTAACACGGTGAAACCCCGTCTCTACTAAAAATACAAGAAAATTAGCCGGGCTAGGTGGCGGGCGCCTGTAGTCCCAGCTACTCGGGAGGCTGAGACAGGAGAATGGCGTGAACCCGGGGGGGCGGAGCTTGCAGTGAGCCGAGATCGCGCTACTGCACTCCAGCCTGGGGCACAGAGCAAGACTCCGTCTCAAAAAAAAAAAAAAAAAATTGAAGACTTTGACACTTCGTAATGGTACTGATGATAAAGAGGGCTTGATGTGGACCCTTCCAGTGAGTCACATTCTTTTTTCTGCAGTTTGATATAGAGTTAGTTGGTAGGCTAGGGGTTGTGGTTCAGGTTATCGGGCTTGATTGAGGTGGCCTGTCATGTATGAGTGGACAGCACTGACGCATTTCATCTGTGCTTTGCTGCAGTTCATCACAGTGGCTTCCGAAATAGAAAGCACCCACCCACTTCTGTATGCTTATTGAATATAAGGATCAGCTAACTATGGCCTGTTTGCATGCCAAATTGGGCCCGTGGCCTGTTTTTGTACTGTGTGGCAGTTTAGAATTTTTTTTTTTTACATTTTCAAAGGGTTGTAAAAAGGGAAAAGATGAATATGCTACAGGCACCAAATGTGGCCTGCAAAGCTTAAAATATTTACCATCTGGCCCTTTGTAGAAAGTTTGCTGGTTGTATAATCCATTATATAGATTCATAGAACCTATTTTTTAATAAAAAAAAAAAAAAAGTAACAGAATTAAGTCATTCAAATTTCAAGTTTGAATTGACATCATCCCTCTACTAATTTTCTTTGTTTTGAATTCCACTTTCGACAATGTGATAGGCTAGATAACCTGAAATACTAAACACTTAGAAATGCTGGATAAAATAGGACAATCATCCTTTTAAATGGAAAACCTAGCCGTCAAGAGAGTAAGGAAGTCCCTAGTTCATTTTCCCATTGCTGTGGTGACCTTGGAGGCTGGGGCGATTGGTTTGGGTGACATAAAAGGGCAAGGAAGAAGAAAATTGAAACTAGAAGGGGAAGGTATGATATACAAGAAGGATTGGTGAGAAAAAATTATCCCCTTGTATTCCAAAACATCGATTTGATGGGGCAGTAATCATCATAACAATGGCTGATGGACATTATTAAAATAAAATGGAGCCAAATCTGGATAACAATAATATGAAAGAAGAAAGGGGATAATTAAACCATTCTAATAAGATCCAATTATTGTTCAGAAGAAACATAGAGTAAAGTTTACTTGTTGATATTTTAAGGAAACTATAATTAGAATGTATAACTTCAGAAGAGGTAGAGGGAAAAGTGAATAACAAAATGATCATGACACTGAAAGGGCAGGAAGGAAAATAAACTCCAAAAAGTATAAGTAGCACAAAATAATAAAATAGAAACAAATCCAAATCAAAGTAAGTAAAAGTGATCTAGACTTCCCGGTTAAAAGACAGAGATTATCAGTATGCCTCTTAGAAAAACCCAGTAATATACTGTTGTTAAGAGATTCTTCAAGGCCAAGAGTGGTGGCTCACACCTGTTTTCCCAACACTTTGGGTGACTAAGATGGGAGGATCGCTTGAGGCCAGGAGTTCAAGACCAGCCTGGAAAACATAGCAAGACCCAGTTTCTACAAAAAAATAAAAATAAAAAAATTAGCCTGGCGTGGTGGCACATGCCTGTAATCCTAGTTACTCAGGAGGCTGAGGTGAGAGGATTGCTTGAGCCCAGGAGTTTCAGGCTGCAGTAGTTTATGATGGTGCCACTGCACTTCAGCCTGGGAAAAAGGGCAAGACTCTATCTCTTTTAAATAAATGAATAAGTAAATCCTTTAAAGATGAAAAGTAGACAGAGAAAGATAATGAGACAGCTACTAAGGGGAAGAAACGTGTACGTGTATATGCATTTCTTATGTGTATACTGTGTGTATATTTAAAGGAAGAAAGTATTGAGAATAGAGGTTTACTCTGTAATTATGAAAGCAACAATTCAGGAAAATATAAAAATCATAAACGTATATATACCTAATAACATAGTATTATAATAAAGCAAAGTGTTTTTTTAAAGTGGGGAAATTAATAAGTGATTTAATATACATGGGAATTTTTGATATATTTAATAATTCATATATCAAGAAGACAAGAATTACAAGATTTGAGTAACAAGTTTGTTCCAGTGTACCTAAAATTGTGTGCAACAGTAACTGTATATATGTTATTTTCAAACTTATATGAAAATTTGTGAAATTAACTGATACTTGCCACAACACAAGTTTAATGCAAGGTTCAATAAAGTGTATGTGGTCTAACCATGGTACGATTTCATTAAAAACAAAAATAAAACATAATTTAAAAAATCAATAGCTGCATGTGCAGCCCAGCTACTTAGAAGGCTGAGGCAAGAGGATTCCTTGAACCCAGGAGTTCAAGTCTAGTCTGAGCAACATAGCAAGACTCCATCTCTTAAACAACAACAACAACAAAAGTTTGTCAATCAGTAGACACATTTCTAAGTAACTCATGGGTCAAAAGAATTTTTAAAAATTTTTATTATGGAAAATGTTGAACATATACAAAAAAGTATACTGTTGTAAGGCTATCATATTTGTGATGTAGGATATGGAAAGCAGGAGGAAATGTCAGGTTTGAATTGATAATTGGTAAGTGTAAAGTGTTATGTGTGAACAGATTAAATATATTGTAAGGGGCATTTGATAAGTTTAAGGATCCATATTGTTACTCCTAGCAATCACTTAAAGAACAATAACAAAGAAGTAGTATAACTAGGAAGCCAGTAGATGATATAAAATGGAACACTAAAAAATATTTGATTAACCAAAGAGAAAGCAAAACAGGAACAACAGAGGAACACAGCAAGAGAAGGAGCAAATAGGAAACAAACAGCAAAGTGGTAGATATAAACCTAGCCAAAGCAATGATGACGTTAAATGTAATCGGTCTAAATACATCAAGTAAAAGGCACAGAGATAGTCAAAGTGGACAGAAAATCAGGACCTAAGTATATATTGCCCACAAAACATGTGAATTTAAATTAAAAGACACAGATAATTGAAAGAAGAATGAAAAAAGATATACAAACAATAAGCATGAAAAAGCTGGCTGGCTTATACTAATGGCAGAAAAATGAGATTTTAAGACAAAGAATGTTCTTCCTGGGATCCTTTTCACCTCATGTTTTCCTGCCTGTAGTCCTCCACGCTTCCTTGTATTCTTAACTTAAATATTTATTACTTTCTTTAGGAAGCCTTTTTTCACCTGCGATCTAGTCCTGTGGGCACAAATAGCATTCTATATTTCTCCTATCATTATATTATTCCATTGTGTTTTAAGCATTTATCTCTCTCCTGTATATTTTAAGTTCTTTTCTGTCTGTAAGATCTTTGAAGAAGGGAATATCTCTAGTTTTTTACAATTGTACTTTTAGCAATTAACGTAGTACCTGATGAACCTAAGTTCTCAATACTTGTTGAATGAATGAATATATGAGTAAACAACTTAATAAATCAGTAAGAAATATGTTTAAAAGACTATATGGGTTATATGTGGAAATGTTTACAATTGTGCAAAAAAGGATGGAAAGAGTTTTAAAAGCCATTGGAAAATTAAAAAAATCAAGAAGCATTCTTTTTTAATCTAATAAGTAATTTTTCATTTATCTTCCATAGACCTGAATTAGTAGTTAAGAAGTTACGATATTATGCAAGATTTATAGTAGTTTGTCTTCTTCTCAACAAAATGGATGTTGTAAAGGATCTGGTAAAGGTAAATGTACTTTAAAATAGTTCAAATTCTAATCTCTAATTGTATATGGATGATCTTTTTTTTAAAAAACAGATTTTAGGTTAAAATAATTTTGATATATCAAAATAATTACAACATTCAAAGTATAGTAACTTCTGACAAGGGTAATGATAAAAATTTTCCAACTCTTCTCATGTTCCAAATACACTAATCTGAGATAATTATCTTGATTCCTTGCTTTTGTCCTTTCTGCATGTTTTACATTTCAAAGCCCATCAATGGATGGCTGGAAATGCAAACAAACAAAAAACTTACTTTAAGGGAAAATAACTGAAATGTTATGTCAAGAAAAAGTACATAATGCTTTACAAAGGTATTGGGAATGATTTTCATTTTCCCACCACTTTACAGTGCATGAAGTCTCTCCTTCGTTAACTCAGGTGATAAACAGTTAACTCTCTTCAGATCCACTTAATACCTGTAATCATTGCATATGAAATTCTGGTTGCACTCTGTACTCAGTAGTTTCAATGGCATACTTAATTTTGTATCAAATATAACATGCCAATTGGTTTTTTGGGTTTTGTGGGGTTTTTTTTTTTTTTTTTGAGACAAGGTCTCACTCTGTCACCCAGCTGGAGTACAGTGACATGATCTTGTCTCACTGCAACCTCTGCCTCCCGGGCTCAAGCAATCCTCCCACCTTAGTCTCCTGAGTAGCTGGAATCATAGGCTCAAGCCACCACTCTTAGCTAATTTTTGTGTTTTTTGTAGAGACAGGGTTTCACCATGTTGCCCAGACTGGTCTCAAACTCATGAGTTCAAGCAATCCGCCAGCCTTGGCCTCCCGAAGTGTTGGGATTACAGGCGTGAGCCACTGTGCCCAGCTCAACATGCCAGTTTTGACAAGGCCACCAGAAGTAGCTCTCCATACTTCTTTTCTACCTTCCTTTATACCCAGTTATCATTAAAAATATTTCCAAAAACTGTATAATATAAATCCAAATAAAGTCAGGAAGTATTTTTAGAAATATATAATTTTTTGTAGTGGTAGGGTCTCACTATGTTGCCTAGGCTGGTCTGGAAATCCTGGTCTCAAATGGTCCTCCTACCTCGACCTCCCAAAGGGCTGGGATTATAGGTGTGAGACACTGTATCCAGCCTCATTTTTTTTTTATGTTAAAATTTTTGCATTTCTCTTTTCTGATTTTTTCATTAATGAATTCATTGCTGATATAGTACTGATAGAAAATAGATCTCTGTAAAGACTTTATTTGATGGGTATTATTATGAAGTTTGTGACTTTCGAAGAAAATTTGTTTAGTTTTCATCTTTGTTTTTGGTTATAATCAGGACTGTGTATTGATAATAATCAAATTTTGTAAGTATGTCGATTTCTGTCAGGAATATGGTTCTATATGGCTGTGTATTTTTATGGGTTTTTTTAATAACCTTTTTTGTAATATTTTTAAAATCAGGAATTGTCAGATGAAATTGAAGATTATACTCACCGATTTAATACTGAAGATCAAGTGGAATGGAACTTGGTGCTTCAAGAAGTAGCAGCTTTCATTGAGGTCAGTTTTTAATAAGAAAAATCATAATTATTGATAAATAATGACCATGTAGTTTATGTTTTTATTGTGTCTATATGTCAAGAAGAAGGAATAACTTACTATATTGATATTTAGTCTTGGCCATTCTTACTGCTTTTTTCTTTAGGCGGACCCTGTAATGGTATTAAATGATGATAATACCATCGTTATCACATCAAATCGCCTTGCTGAAACAGGAGCCCCATTGCTGGAACAGGGCATGATTGTGGGACAGTTGTCTCTGGCTGATGCACTCATTATTGGTAATTGTAATAACCAGGTAAAGAATTGTGAAGGAATTATGCTTAAAATTCACTGTGAAAAATAGTGCTATTGATGATCACAGAATTATTTTCTTGTAAATATCCTAACATCCTCTTATGAAGAAATTGCGGACTAAATTATGCTGTGTGCATATATGGAATATATTACAGATATTTAAATACCTTAGAATTTTTAATAACATAGGAAGATATTCATGATACTGTAAATGAAAATAAACTTGCCATGGAGCCATGGAAGCAGAATTATTTCATATATGTTAGAATGTCTATATGTATGCACATAGGAAAAAGACTAGGAAGAAATTTTACAAATATCTAAGTTTTATCTCCGAATAACCAAATTATAGGGATTTTTATTTTATTTTTTACAACACTCTAAAGTTTCCAAAGTTTCCGGCCTGGCACAGTAGTAGCTCACACCTGTAATCCCAGCACTTTGAGAATCCCAGGTGGTTGGATCACTTGAGGTCAGGAGTTCGAGACCAGCCTGGCCAACAATGGCAAAACCCCATCTCTACTACAAAATGCAAAAATTAGCCAGCCATGGTGGCATGCACCTGTAATTCCAGCTACTCGGGAGGCTGAGGCAAGAGAATCACTTGAACCCAGGAGGCGGAGGTTGCAGTGAGCCAAGATCATGCCACTGTACTCCAACCTGGGCGACAGAGCGAGACTGTCTCAAAAAATAATAATAATAATAAAGTTTCCAAAATGCATATGTACTACTTTCCAGTCGAGCTAAAAGGGGCGAGGAGTTGGTGTTTTTTGTTTTTTTGTGGGATTTTTTTGAGACGGAGTCTTGCTTTGTCACCCAGGTGGGAGTGCAGTGGCATGATCTTGGCTCACTGCAAACCTCCATCTCCCAGATTCAAGCGATTCTCCTGCCTCAGCCTCCGAAGTAGCTGGGATTACAGGCACATACTGCCACACCTGGCTAATTTTTGTATTTTTAGTAGATACAGGGTATCATGTTGCCTAGGCTGGTCTTGAACTCATGACCTCAAGTGATCCTCCTGCCTCAGCCTCCCAAAGTGTTGGGATTACAGGTTTGAGCCACTGCACCTGGCCAGGAGTTGTTTTTGCGTAAATTTGTCAAAAGTGAATTTCAAATGTTTTTTCATGACAGAATAGCCCCATGATGATGAGCTTTAATGTACTAGAAATGAAATTTACTGGAAATTATACCAGTAAATACATTTTTCTAGATGTGTTTTTTACACAAGTTTAGTTTTGGATCCTATCCTAGCAGCTATCAATCATTTTTGTTATTGTTAAATTTTTCTGGTATTTCTCCATTTTTGGCTTTTATGACCATTATTTTGCAAATATCTACAACATTTTTGAAATTATAGTATGAATATACTAAATGGAAAAATTTTGAAACATGTTTATGGTTTGTATAGTTACATTATCTGAAGGCTCGGTATTTTTCTCACTTTTAATTCAAAGAAAATTTTTCTAATCAGAAAAATATAAATTAAAACCAAATAAGATAGCACTGACCCAGATGATTAAAAACAAAAGAGACCAAGAAACTGATAATAGCGTATCCTGGCAACTAGTACAAGAACTGAATATTTCATACTTTGTAGAAATAGAAATCGATAGATTTACTTTAGAAAAATGGCAGGCATTATCTAGTACAGCTGCATATATGCACACTCTATGACCAAGCATTTCCAGTATTTTCTTATTGATCTGTAAGAGTTCCTAATATATTTTACATGAAAGTCCTTTGTCAGATTTATGTATTGAACTATCTTCTCCTACTCTTGTCTTGCCTTTTATTCTCTTCCAGTATCTCCTCTCTCTTTCTCTCCTTTTTTTTTAACGTCTGTTAAAATATTTATTAGTGTCTACTTCATGCCAGACCCCCCTGTTCCAGACACTGAGATTCCAGTGAACAGAAGTCCTTAATTTTAATGTAGTCTAATTTATAATTTTTTTCCTTTCTGGTATGAGCTTTTTTGTGTCCTATTTTGAGAAATCATTGCTTACCTTACCTTTCATATTTAGATCTATGATCTCTTTGGGATTTATTTTAGTGTGAAGTATGGGTCAGATTTTCTTTCTGGATTTCTGGTAGACCTAGCACCATTTACTAAAAAGACCGTCTTTTCCCTACTACACTGTAGTGTCATTTTTATCATAAATCTGATGTTCAAATATATTTGACTCTGATTCTGTTCCTTTGGTCTGTGTGTCTATTATGCTGATACTTCTGACTTCATTATTATGGCATTTTAATAGGCCTCGATATATTGTAGTAAATGAAATATTTATTTTTTCTAATTTTTTCTCTTTCATTGATTGTGATTCTTTTTTTTTTTTTT